ACCCGGAAGAAACTCCTGGCTCCTGCTTCAGATTGCCTTAGCTCTAACCACTGTGGACTCTTGTGGAGTGAATCAATAGAAGGAAGATCTTCCTCTCTGTCTCTCCTCCTCTCTGTATATCTGACTTTTGAACAAAAATAAAATGAATCTTTAGGTTAAAAAAGATAGCAAATATGTAATAATTTGTTATACAGTAATGGAAAACTACAACAATCACATTTCATTTTTATATAAACCTAACACTGTAGGATAAACAGAACATTGACATGTGTTAACACAAAACCTTAATGATGAATTTGGAGAGTTCTACCTGTTATAACTCAAAGCATTAAAATAAAAGCATTAAAATAAAAATTAGAACAAGGAGCTAAGTGTCTACAGCATAGGGGCCTCTCATCTTGTGCCTTCAAAAGAATGCCTTCAGCTAATGAAAGGATAAAGCAATTTCAAAATTTTCAAACTTTACACCCCAGTAGATCACTGAAGGCCACCTACAACTGTACTCAAGTTGTACTTGATTTTGAAAGAGAGAAGCAACACAAGGTTATGAATCATGGATAAAGACTGTTTTCATGACCTTCTACACTAGTGGTTCTCAGTCTGGCTTTCTGTTTGCTATTATAGTGTGAATATTTACAAAAAATAAAAGGATTTAGAATTTAAAAAGAAAAAAAAGAATCCTGAGCACTATTCCAGACTTAGCTAAATCAGAAGTATCTGTTCTCCTCTTTCTCTACAAACACACACGGATGCCCATCCATCCAAGAACTCATGAGGGCTGGCACAGTGGCCGAACGGTCTAATCCTCCACCTGCTGTCAGTAGCATCCCATACAGGCATTGGTTTGTGTCCTGGCTTATGCACATCCAAACGCAGCTAGCTCCCTGCTTATTGCTGGGAAGGCAGCAGAGGATGACCCCATTCTTTGGGCCTCTGCACCCATATGGTAGAACTGAAAGAAGCTCCTGGCTCCCAACTTCAGAATGGCCCACCTCTGGCAGGTGCAGCCATTTGGGGAATGAATCAGAGGATGGAAGCTCTCTCTGACTTTCCAAATAAAATAAAATCAATCTTTCACAACGACAGAAGATACTATGAGGTTCCATTGCAGCCAACCTGGTCACTGATCACTGATATGCGACATGATAGAGCTCACCACAATTCAGGCATTTCTTTTTTTATGACAGAAGCACGTTATAGGTCATATACATCTAGTTCAGTTGTCTTCAATCTTGGCTTCAGATTTTAATAATCTGAAGTATTTTTAAATCCTAATGCTGAGGCTTTTTTCTAAAGCAGTTACATCAGCACCACCAGGCAAATATGCAACCATTTGTGAATTTTAAGGCTCCCTGAAGACCAATAGGGCTAAGCTGGAGACTGCTGATCTATAGGTAATACTTCGTATCTTTCTGCATGCTTTCTAATACCTAATAAGGCAGCCCGATGCTCAAGAAACTGAGGACTATAAAGGTCAACCATGACTGCCCCATTTGAATGGAATGCATAACTAAGGCTGATCATTTGGGACCACAGCAACTTGCTTTCATTGACATTCATTGCCACTGTATTTATTTATAAGAAATGCGGTAATCATTAACACAATTTACATAGACAAGCTGGCCACTGAGGCAGAGGGAGGGGTCCAAACAAGGTATTGACCTAAGTTCGAATGACACCAAGGATTATGATGTCTGTATCACACAGGTGAATCTCAGTGTGTTCCCTGGACCAGCTGCACTAGCATCACCTGGAAACTAACAAGAAATGTAAATATCGTGGCCAAACCCAGCAGCACCTCCATGGTTTACGTATGCTCTATGTATGCTCTGTTCCCCAAGTGTCTATGTGTTGCAAACTTGGTCCTGTTAGTGGTGTTGGGAGATGGTGTGGGATCATTAAGAGGTAGTGTTAGTGGGTGGTCACCAAGTTATAACAGAAAGTGCTACCAAAGGGATTCAGGTAGATGTTACGGAATCCTCAGGCTCTTGTGTTATGTGAGTTTTTATAACAGCAAGCTAGACCAGGACAGTGTGTTTCGTGAGCTCCCCTGCCTCACCTGAGGTCCTTCTTCAACTGAGTCCAGCTGATGCTCATACCAGGCCACTAATGGTGGAGACATTGCATATATTTTTCTCCATTTCTACCAGCTTTCCACTTTAGGAGACAGCTGTACACATGGTGAGAGAAGGACTCGGTGAGACTTGGTAAGGGTATGGAAAATTTATATTGATTTTTTTTCCTGTTACCCATTTATTTAAAAAAAAAAATCTATGCTGAAAATGAGAGGAAATGGTGTCAAAGAAAACACAGAAGAAAAAAAAAAACTGGGGACTCTGATAATCCTTCCTTGCATGGGGTCTGGCAAATTGAGCCACTTTCTTACAAGTGTGACTATTTTAAGATGCTGATGAATGGCTGATCCTTTTAATCAAAATAAGGAGGGTTTTAAAAGGTTTCATTAAAGATGAATATTGCAACTGCTTCCAAGGAAATTATTTTTTGATCTGAAGGGCTTTGGGATAATTGGTGTTCAGGAAACCCGGAGCAGTTCGTTTACTTTCTGTGATGGAAGCCATTCACATTTTGCCATCCTGTAAAACCTGTACACTGCTGACAGCCCGGGTCTCTCCTGCTGTGCTTCAGGGCCTATTTGGGAGCTGTACATTTGAGTAAAAGAAAAATTAAAGGGCTACTCCTTTTCCTTTTTGATGCATCAGACACTGATTAATACTTTGAAAGCTAACTGTGATGCCCTCTCTATTAAAGCATATATGATATGATATGAGCACCTTCACATCTCCTGGGGAAGGGTGGGGCTGTAGCAAAAGTGGAAGTAATGTAGAAAGGAAGATAATGCAGGGAAAGGAAAGTGAAAAGGAGGAGCTGGAAGAAAAGATACAAACACTGACAACGGGAAGAACTAGGTTTCAGGAACGGAGGAAGAGGGGGGAACAGCCAAATACAGAAGCGCAGTTCCAAGGGCAGGAAGAGAAGAAAGAAGACAGGTAGGACATAGACAAAAAGGGCAGAAAAGGAAGAACCCACAGGTAAGGGGAAAAAAAAAAAAAGAAAGCAAAGAATGCAGACTGCAGAGTTGGGCAATTTACTGTGAAGTGCCCACTTATATGAAACGCACTGCAGAAATGCTGGCTGCAGAGGTTAACGGTGGCCGTTGTTGCGATTCCAATTTGCAGCAAATGGGATGAAAGATCGCCGGACCTCAAATGGAGAGACCGGAAAGTGATGGTAACAGTGACAGTCAGGGTTCTTAGGGACGAGGCGGGCTGGAAGAGGTCCTGCTTTAGTTGACATCCACTTTATATTTGGGGCATGATTCAATGTTCAGAAGAAATAAATTTTGCTTATTCCATGATTTCCACTTTAGTAAACAGAATTTTAGATGTTCACATGAACATATTTTAAGTTTTGCTTTGTCTTTTAATTAGGTTTCTTGGGGCATTAACTTTGGACCTGGCCTTTTGATCCTCCTTTCCGTCCACAAGCCTGTTGCTCAGTGGTTCTCTCCTACCACCAGGGAGTGCAGCTGCTTTATTAGAAGTGCTTGCTCTAAGCCCTGCTAACTATTCTGTAAAACAGGCACAGGTAATAATTGTCTGAGTTGTCAAAACCCTATCTTTTTACCTAGATTTACTTTGCATATCTCTGTTTAGGTGCATGCCTTTCTAATCAGAGTCTTGTTTGGGACTGGTGGTAGACACCAATCCTTATCATAACACTTCCCACCTCCGTCTACCACTGCTAAGTCCTGAATGCTAGGAGATGAACACGCTTTGAAGAAGTAGTGAAGCTGCACTGCATAACAGAGAGAGAGAGAGAGAGAGAAAGAAAGAAAGAGAAAGAGACAGAGAGAGAGAGAAAAGAGGGTTGAAAACGGAAATAGGATAAAGACCGATCCTTTTGAGTCTGAAAACTGGTGGAAGGTTGTGTGCAAGACACTTGCTAAAACTCTATGAAAACATTCTTCAGAGTCAGAGACAGTTCCACGTTGTCTGAGTAAGTTTCTGCTGTTGATAGTGAAGCAGAGTTTACCACCTGTCTCCCTAAAGTTGGAGGAAGACATCACTTGCAAGTGGTCACATTTGGACATGCTAGAGCTGAGAGACTTTGGGCCATTACAGATTTCTAGCAAGGGTAATAAGCTCTTTAGGCAAAGGTATGTGGAGGGATAAAAGCAATTTAATTTGTATCTCCAGGTGCAACTATGAGTTATTTGGTTTGCACATACCAAGAATAAAATATGTATTTACTTGGCATGCCATTTGATAGACAAATACTTAAAAATTTTCCCTATTCAGAGCATAAGTTCAATGAAACAAAGCTGTTCTCTGGCGTTTGAATAACCTGCAACTTCTGCTTAAAAACTGAATCCATATCAAATACTCAGTAAGACAGTGTGACACACAGACAGCTGGATCTTTCTCCTTTGCTCTGTGGGTCCTGTGGCTGATGACTCCCACAGGAGGTAGGGCAGGCACACAGCTGTTCCATACAGAATCAGATGCAGGGGCTGCCTGAGGATACCTGGGATGGACAGTCATTGGCAGCATGATCTGCTACAAAGCATAACACACATCTCCTTTTTCCCAGTGCTTCAAACAGAATTCCTTGATGCTATCAATCTCTATTTCAGGTTGAAAGCGAGCACAGTTAAAGCATAAATAAAGCCTTGGCATTACTGGAATGGTGGCATTGTAGTTGAACCACAATAAAAGAAATCCTAACCAAGAACTGAATTATGTGAACCTTTTTAAAGAACTCATCTTGGTGTAATGGGACCAACCGCATTATACTTGCATTGATGTGTCACCATAAATCATAGTATAAATTGATGTTGACCATATTTCTATTTAGGAAAGACCAGTTTCACATGCATATGAAATAGCATTCCCGTGGCATAGTATGTTTTCCCACATCTCTTACTTTACAGTGCTATTTTGAGAACTATGTCAATGTAAGATCAAAAAGAAAAGTCTTACATTCTTAAATCCTCTGTAGAGAATCTGAAGCTCTTTCTTGGTAAATTTGCTCTGGGCTTCCAGAAGCTCCAGGGCCTCAGGCCGATGCCTGACGGTGGCCATCTCCAGCTCATCTTCCACGCTGTCTGCAAAGGAAAATCAGAGAAAATCATAAGACTAGCCACAGATGCTTATTCACAGCAACACAAGAAAACAGCAGAGTACCCATGAGTCGGCAACAAAAGGAGGATCCTCACTGACAATAATGGCCTTTGCGTTTCCATGACTGACTAGGATTTGCCTAAGACATTTCTGCATCTTTTTAACATATCCTGCTCATTCATGCAGACATCACAATTTTAACATCCTAGTACATTTTAAAAGGCATAAAATACCACAAAGCTGACTTTGATGGACTGTGTGTATATAGTAGGTACTAGTATAAACATGGATTTGATATGCAGTAACACTCAGCTTAACTGGAAGTATCATAGAGCTGCAGACAGGTCTCTGCTAGGACCCCAAGAATCACACTGGGCTCAGACATTCAATGTTGGGCTTAAATAAAATGTATGGATCAAGGTGCTGACCGGGGTAAGCAAACAGTGGCCAGCTGAACTGGTACAAACTTCATTTTACGTGCCCACTGTATAGACGATCTCCTAAGTAGATCCTATTTTGCAGTGAAGGGAATTCATAGTAACACACAAGCTCTAAAATGCATACTATGCTTTGCTTTGTGAATTATATTTCTGTTATAATTACTCAAAGAGACTCTAAACCAAAGAACTTCATGTGTACACATGTCTGGAAAATGTTACATGCTTTTATGTTATTCTGGAACACAATATTGGAACACATAGATCTTGCGAGGATTTAATACAAAAAAATTGTTGATTTTGCTTTAGCTAATGCATTGCCTATATTCCTACAGAGCTATGATCTTTTCACGTATTATTTGTTGGATTCTTTAGTGCATTAAGCCTTTGCTCACTCACTATGTAAACTAAAAATGTTATAAAAAAAAGAGTTCAAAGTCTTCCATGTATGGGACATTTTCTCACTGAGTACCACATGGTAATTTCTGCAGGTTTGCAAGGGGTCCTGTGAGCACATGTCTGTGGATGGTAAGGGATATGTTAGGACCCAAGTGCATGTGTCTCAAAGCACAATCTCCGTTTTTCGCTATAGACACCTGCTCGATTCTCTTTGCCAGAATCATTTCCACCCCTCAGAGCAGGAACTTGGTGGAAAGAAAAGCTCCAGGTCCAGCAGAAAGGCACGTTCCTCCTCCATTCTGTCTTTTCCTCCGACTGTAGATTCCAGACATTGAGAGAATAAGGAAAGCAGTCACTTCCCCAGGACTCATAATCCCTGCATCTTTGAATTACTTAGAAATGTGATTCTTTATGCCCAAGTCACCTTCTTTGACACTAATTATTCTATCTTTTGCTCATATTCAATACCTACTTTCTGACTGGCCCCAGTGAGGGCACTGAGGGGCCAGAGCTACTGCCTAGCACAAAATAAAGATGGTCAGTACGACGTGTTTCTGGCATGTCCTAATTGCTTCCCTCAAGGAGTTCATAAAATACCAACCATAATGATGACAAACAAGTACTTGGAATAATCTCACCTGTCAAAAAATTAACAGGGTATAAAATGTTCATTTAAAGAAAACATTCATTTCTTAGTTTTCATATGCTAATAGTTTCTTTGGCATGGAAAGTTTTCATGATAGTGACAGATATTATGTCTAATAGAAAATAATGAAGATACAAAAAAAGTAAAAACAAAATTAAAGCTAAAAAAGGATAAAAATGATGAGAACTTAGTTGTGTGTACCTTTAAAATAATGGAGTTTGCTAAAAAGTAGCTGGGAAAAAGTGACTCATCATGAACAAATTGATCTGTTTGATTTTTGAGGAAAAAAATTTAGAAAGCTTAAAACAGTGTTCCTTCAACTCTACATTCATTATTTGGATACACTGATTTTACTCAATGGATGCTATGATAGGATGAAACGAAATGCTGTTCCATAACATCGCTGTTGATTTCAGTGGGTTGAATTATGCTGCATTATTGTACTTGCCAGTGCAAAAACATATGCATGCAACACTCAGTGCTCACAGACAAAGAGGAAGGATTCACTTTCGTGAAAACATCTTCTGTGGGTTCCTTTTGAATCATTTATAGTGTTTCTTTGACTCCCCAAGATTTTTCCACTTGTTAAAATGTATAAATCTCACAATTCAAATATTCATGACACCTTTCTGAGTTCTTTCCCCACAGCCTCACAGTGGAAAACTGTTGATTTCCTGGCCAAGTTCCCACGTTCCTTTCTCTTATACTGCACATACATGATCAGGTAAGTTGAAAATGCAGTTAAATCATGAGTTTATTTTGAAGTAAAAATTTTTAAATCTATGTGTATAATATCATGATTCATTCATGTTTATTTTCTCGATGTGAGTCTATCTCCTTGTAGAATCAATCTCTGACATACATACGTATGTATAGATGCACACATACATAGTTATGTAAGACATTATATACGCGCATATATTTACATATAGTCTCCAGTCTCTGGACCTAACTCTTAGTCACAGAACAGTTATCTGGTCAACCAAGAAAAACACAATTGATGCTGATGTTCAAATGTCCATTCGTCTGGTTTCCCCTTCAATTCTAGATGCCTATTTGGGAAATAATGTTTCCAAATGAGGTTTGTGGATTGTTGGCGGGCCTTAAGTATTTGCTTTGGAATCATTGTATTTTTTATTGTTTCAAGAAGCACAATCCAGGCAAAAGCAGAGGAAAGTTTAATCACATTTTTGTTAGCAGTCTTTTGATCATAGCATAACCTTGTCTAGACCTAGTGACCCTTCCACTGCGAAGAAACAAAACAGCCCATTAACCTCTCAGCCTTTGTGCCATGAGACAGTCTGAGCCACAAAACTGACAGAATTTTTTTCCAGCTGTCATAGACTAGCTGATGCCAAGGCCGAGCCGAATGGCCCCGGGGCCCGTGGGTCAGTATAATTGAATTTAGCGTGCGATAGGATGATCATCACATGCAATATTCAAAAAGAACCACACTTCAAGTGTCTGCCTGAAGGCTCTCCTGTTTTCCCAGCTGAGCAGCACCTTCCTTCTTAATGACTCCTACCTTGCTAAAGGGCTGTTTCTATTTCTAGCAGCTTGACAGGCTCTAAAAACTTTCCTGAAGTCATCAGCAATCACCAGCACATGATAAGTTCAGAAAGCAACACCACCAAACCCAATCAATTCTGATTCCTGGAGGAAACAGTGAGAGCACAGCATGATTCCAGGCACGACTTGCAAGTGCACCTCCGTGGCTCAATCATCATTTGAGAGCACGTGTTTTGTGGGATTTCAATACTGTGCCTAGCAGTTCCTGTCAGTTGCTAGATCAGTTACATACCTTTTGGCAATAATTCGGATTTCAAAATAATTCCACAACAAAAAAGGATCGTTCATTTTTCACAAACACAGAAACTGAGCCCCATAATGATCAGGAATGGAGTGGGCAGATGTTCATGTAGACGACAAGGACACTATACCCGAGTGCTCGAAGCCATAGCCCTTCTTTCCACTTGGCTACGCTTTTTCCATACTAACAGAAAGAACAATGACAGAAATGCTAGCAAGTAATTTCCATTTCTGCATCAGCAAGCATATATAAAAAAAACTGACCATATTCATTGGGTCCAGTTCCTACTTCCTGCTCTCTCTTTAATCTATTGCCGTCTGAGTTTTGGTCTTGTTAGGGAGTGAACTGTGTCCTCACAAAGGTATATACATTTATATCAAAGATCTGATCCCCAACGTGACTATATTTGGGGCAGGGCTTTTAAGCAGGTAATTACTGGTAAATGAGATCACAAACATGAGGATGTTAGGCACAATGGATCTGGGTTGACAGAGCAATGGCCACGTGATAACACAGCAAGATTCCAGAGTCATTCTGGTGCCTTGATCTTGAACTTGGGGACTTCAGAGATGTGAGAAAAGGTCCTGTTGATTCCCATACCCAATTCGATAGATTGTATGCCAGCTCTCAGAAACCAACACTTCCACCTCCATCCTATTTACTCCACTCAACAGTAAATAAAGTCTGCCAGTATCACTCAAAATTCACAATACCCTCATGAGCATGATTGTAATTCCTGCTTCACAGATGAGAAAATTGAAATTAAGCTGCACTCACCTAAGCAACTCAAGGTCAAATGACTATTTATTGAAGTAAGCAAGTTTTTTCTGTATCTTAACATTGAGGCTTCTAAGCTCTGTAATGAGGTTGCTAATATAATCCTACTACGATTGAGAAAAATTTTGCTCTGTGCCTGGCCACTTAGCATGTTCATCCAATACTCACAAAATTTGTGTGTGATATACCCAGTTGGCTTTTATTTCACAAAGACCAAACTGGATCTAACTGAACTTCAATCACAAAATCGAACTGAGATTCCATCTTCCGACACTGAAGATCATGAGCTGAATAATTGTCAGCTTCTTGTTTTTTTAAACTACAATACCTGGGAGGAAAAACAAGCTGGAAAGTTTACTCTTGGTTTCCAATTCAAGAATACACAGTGCAAAACTGGGTGGCCTACTTGGCTCAGGCACCTGCTGAACCCACACATTCTCTTCCTTCCCTGTGGTCCCTCCTCATAAAACCATCATGGTTCAGCTGCAAAAGTTTGCCTTAGCATCTTAATCCAATCCAGTCACTTTCACAAGGCCACATCATCATACACCATAAGGGATGCCTCCACTCTAATCCATCAGCCATTATCATGAAGCTTCAGAGTTTAAACGTGATGTAAGGAGCCAAATCCTGTTCAAGCCATAACTCAGACGTCTAGTTTTTGATTAAAACCTCTAGTGGATAATGCCTTTTAAACCAAAATCCACTAGGGTAGCATGACATCAGTATGATGCCTTGTAATACACTATGCTCATTAGAGACAGGATAAGATGCAAAACAATGGGATGTCCAACTGTGAGTACACAAGTCATTTCGTTTGTGCATTTTATCACTGAGAGATTTAGGTTCTGGTAGGCAGAGTGGTTTGACGAGGATAAAAGGCAGAATGAGGCGGACCCTGGTCTCATGAATCAT